CGCGGGTGCTGAAGAGGGGACCATCATTGGCCAGCTCTAACCACGGAGATGCCAAACGTTCAGAAACCAGGCCGTGCAAGCTCCTTTGGCAGCAAGCCTGGCGTGGGCGGCCATGAAGCTGTTAGTCTTAGTCTGATCTGCGTGAACAGTCGTGTTATTTTGCTGCAGAAAGGACTGTGCTCGTCTGCCTGTTGGAGGCATTCCCGATGCTGTGTGTCCACGCACCACAGCCTGTCCTTCCAGCTCTGAATTCCAAAACCCGTCCGGCCCAAAGGCTGTGGATGAAGGATCCGGACCACTGCCTGAGCCCCCGAGATTCCATCTCCACGGCCCACCTGCGATGCCAGCCTTCCCTTTATCACTTATCAAAATCCTTTAACACGTGATCCTTCTCAAAGCTTCCCTGGGACTCCTGGCAGCAGGCCTGGTGACTGCCAGCTCCCACAGGGTTTCACACAAGACAGGGGCCCTAAGATGCCCCGCCCAGGCCAGGTGGCGTCCGGGAAGAACCCCAACATGCTCACCGAGGTCCAGGATCCGGTCCCCAGGCCGGCTCCACCGCCAGCCCTCCAGCTGCTGGTGCTCTGTGTACTGCAGCCGACGGTCATGGAAAACCACACGGATGATGCTCTGGCAGGGAAACAGGCAGGAGGAGCTGAGTGTGGGCACCAAGAGGAACCCACCTGCCACCTTCTGAGCCAGGGTGCCCCACCCTCAAGGTCGCCCCTCCTGGAGCCGTCCGCCCGGGGCGCCCCACTCCCTCCAGAGTCCCAGCAACATGAACAGCAGGGAGCAGACTGCTGCCTGCCCTTTGTCCATGACTACGGAGTGCTTTACACACACGGCTACTTGTCATTCCTTCTGTGCTGATGAGCCACAGAAGCTCAGAAAAGCTCAGGGAGTGCCCAACCTGGAGCCCAGAGCCTCGTCCATCAGCCCACGCCACTCGGCTCTCGGCTGTGGCCTGTCCTAGTCCCTGGGAGAGCACCTGGGGGAACAGGGGCCCACTCTCCCTCTGGGGCTTTCCCCGAACCCCCATGCCACTCCTGACCACCACAGCGCGCCCAGCGCTGAGACCCCCACGGCCCCTCAGGGAGGGAGAGCGCCCCACAGACTTACCTTGACGTACTTTGTGTTCAGATCCTGGAAGTCTCCCAGCTTCCGATTCTCCAGCAGCCGAATTTCATAAGACTGACCTGGAGGACGGTTAGTACAGTTCCCATTTCTGAGAGTTTCCAAATGTGGGCTCACGGGCTAGCGGCCTCCCAGCCTCCTCAGCGCCACCCAGGCTCACGGCCGGGAGGAAAGCCCAGCGCCAGCTCCGGGCCCCTGGGCGGGCAGCCCCGTCTGTCTACCACCTGGCTGGGCCAAGGGCACCCCAGGTAACACACCACACGACCCACCACATGGCAGCACCTCTATAATTTTCACAGAAATAGATTCCAACCCGATACAGTTAGCATTACAGTTATGGAACATAACTTTGTGTTTCTTCCCAAAGAATGTCCCCCACACACTCGGATAGAGAGCAGCTACCGAAATCCACGTCAGAGTAAAC